AGATTTGTTTTCCCTATTTATCCATTAGTATTACAATAACATGCCACTCAAAAACTTGCTAGGCAAGCACTTTTTAAAGGTTAGGCAAGAGGTTTTCTTCTGATCATCACTTTCACCAGATGCATTTTTTCTTTTTCAGAGACTTCATGCTCGGGGGCCCTGATAGATATGTGTCTTAGAGCATTTAGACAAACTTCCTGGTTTTCTTAATGCATAGGTCAGTGATTTCACTAGAGATTTGGGCCTCAGGAAGGACGCGGGGTCAAGCTGCCCTCTCTGTGGCACCCAAACTCTCCCTTCCCTCCCTGACTGTGGTCATGCGGAAGTTGCAGTCTAGGTCTAATCTGGGCCTGTTAGCAGGGGCAGATGACCGTTTTGTGGGGCCCCGGGCAGCATAATTCTGCAGGGCCCCCCCTTTGCCAGGGCGCATGCGCAGTGACGCCATGCGCATGCGCGGGGCTTTCTGAAGCGCGGGGCCCGGAGCGGCCGCCCAGTTCGCCCTGCCCTATATCCGCCCCGCCTGTTAGCTTGGTTGCTAAAGTTCAAGCAGTAAGCAATAGTGGTTCAGGCACTTACTGGATTTGCCGAAATCTCCCCTGCTTAGTAAGGGGTTCATGGAGCCCCTGCTACATCACTGTTGAGGATTCAACTGCTTCTATCATCGTTTCCTTTCATTCATAATCTGACATTGTTCGGCCTTCAGCCCCTGTTGCATAACAACCAATAAAGCTATGAGTCGCACCTAGAAATAACTTGTGTGGACACTAGAACTACAGAGCGGGGGGTCAAGAAACGCAAAGAAGAGATGTTGGATCCAAAGCCTAGAGAAAACGTTCACTGCCATGTAGATGGGTGATTGCAAGACACACTTATTGCTCATAAGGGGAAGTATTAGTGGGAGGTCTCATCTTAGAACATAAGAGCACATTTTATCTTCTGTGTATTACCTACACATGCAGCTGTGGAACTGGTGGAAGTGATGTGCATGGGGGAGAGGAGGTCAGGACCCATAATGGAGAGGTAGGGAGCAAAGGGGGAAATTGCTCTGGGGCCAGACGATACTAAAGGGCCTGAGGCACCAGCTGTTGACACAGTGCCATAGCCCTGGGACCATTTGAATTTCCGTGGGAGCGCTGTACATTGTGCTCCAGAGCCCTGCACGGCATGCTGCAGCAAGCTTTGAGGGACAGCGAGGACAAGGGCACCATGCTGTTTGGGCAACACTGGGGGCTGACAGCCCAGCTCTGCCCTTCCACCCATGGGCCCACCCCATTAGAGAGCGCAGAGTCAGGCTCCCCAACCTTGCCCAAGGGCCTGGCAATCCCATTGGCTTCCCTGGAGAAGGGGACAAGTGTTGCAATGAAATCAGATCTAGTTCCTAAGGGTCCTGGATGGCTGTGTGAGACCTGACCTAAGGGCTACATAGGTGCCTTGTCTTGACATGCCAAAGCCCTGAGCAGACTTCCTGCTCTTTGGGGCTCCAGGGGCTGCATTTGCCGCAAAAGTGAGTCACGTCACATTTTAAAATACAGCAGCATGTCTCGGGTCTATAGATTTGTTAAGTCCTCGGTTTCCTTTTCTGAGGCCAAGAGGATTCCCCTGTATGATCCTATTCATGACCTCAAATGTTCAGCCTTCTGTCACAGTCAGAAGTTGTAATTTGACTGGAAGAAGCAGTCGGTTGGTTTAGACTGCAACTCCATCAAATCACCTCCCATTGCCCCAAGCAACTGGTACTTAAAGCATGTACAACTCCAGAGAAGATGCCTGGGATTTTTTCTGCCAGCCCCTACAAGGGCTTAGGCTTCTCCTCAGCTCTTTTTTCTCATCTCACAGGTCTACAATTAATCAAGATCGACTGGCAGAAAGAAGCAAATCGGCGCAAACACCATACCAACGAATACGACAGCACAGACCTCATTGTGAGGAGAGAACAGCCCTTCTCCATCACAGCGACCTGCAACAGAGCACTGAAGTCTGGAGAGAGCTTCAAGTTCACTGCAGAGACAGGTAATGCCCCCGCTTCAGTCCCCCCCACAAACAGGCTGCTGCTCTCACGGACGGGCAATGGCCTCCCCTGCAGATGCCAGAAGGAGGCAATGATGCCAACAGGCATTCACCCCTCAGAGGCCCTGTGACCACTGCTGTGCATCCGCTTGGCTAGAGCAGGGCTACTCAACTTTGGAAGCCCTGCAGGCCACAATGATACTCACAGCACATGCCAAGGGCCGCAACCTAAGCGTGGTTGCAAATACATGCAAATATATATGCAAATATATGCAAATAGCTTCTTTCACACTGACAGGCATGAATACAAATATTAAGCCTTAAGCCGCAGCACCAGACCCAAACGTGGCCAGTGTGAGCCAGTCAGCACCTCTCACGCTCTGCCCACAAGGCTAGGCAACCAGCACTTCCCACAAAGCCCCAGCGCTCTCAGCACTTCCTCCCTGGGGGCTAGAGACACCGACACTCTGTACCCGTCTGCCCAGCCAGCCCGGCCGCTGGCGTCTTTCAACGCTCACCCCTCCTGGGAGACAGCTTACCTCTGTGCAGCATGTTCCCAGCAGACGCCATGCTCAGAGTCCCACCCGCGGGCCGTGTGTTGAGCCCCGCGTAAACCCAAACTGCACCACGGGCCGTAAACAAATGGACCGTGGGCTGCGTGTTGAGTAGCCTTGGTCTGTAGCATGCCGACATCTGGTACAAACTCACTCGTGGGGGTGTGTCTCTACTGTGTCAACTGGAAATTGTATGTGACTTAGGAGAGCAGGAGACATCTCAGTGTTCTTTATCCTCTTTGCAAGGGCCAAAACCATCACTGAAAGCTAAGACCCAGGCTGTATTCAGCATCTCCAGCACAGCAAGCAATGGTACCTGGAGCGCAGTCCAACAATCCACCGAGTCCAGCTCCGTCACCATCTCTATTTACTGTCCAGCCAATGCTGCCATCGGACGCTACAAACTGAGCGTGCAGCCTACCTCAGGGGGAAATGCCTCCCAGGGGATCGTCGGAACTTTTGTTCTACTCTATAACCCCTGGTCTCAAGGTACAGACACTCGGGTTGCTCCCTGAGTAACTCACTGCAGCTTTAATACGTGCAGCTTGCCCATCTGATGTACAGCAGCTGAACCCCCCAGCAAGTGTGGGGATCCGGAGTGCCCCCATGCCTTCCAGTGACACAAAAACCACTGAATGGCTTAGACACCTACAGTAGAGGGCACAGGAGGCAGCGCTCCCTCTCCTCTCAGTGCAGTCAGGGTCCTGTGGGATTCCCAAACTCATCACATTCATTCTGTAGCTTGTGTGTGATTACAGAGTCCTACCGGGGAGACAGGCATAGCCTGAGCCCTGTGCCCCCCACAGCTCAGCCCCACCACAGAAGAGCAGAAAGTGGGCACTCCCAGGGACTCTGCTATCCCCGAGAAAAGAGACAAGGCCCTGAAGCCGGCACACACTAACTTTCCCCTGCAGAACAGAGACTTAGCCACATGTCCTCCTGCTCCCTTCCTTCACCTCCAGCCCCACCAGCAAAAGGGTGGTGTTTCTAAAATCCGTTGATGAGAACAGAGCAGAGCCGGGTGGGAGTTTACAGGAGCTCATCTGAGGCTCTTAAATCTCGGCCCTTTTGTGGTTTTACAGCACCTCTGCTTTGGGTTTTCAGGAGATGATGTGTTTATGCCTAACAATGCTGAACGCCAAGAGTACGTGATGGAAGAGTTTGGGATGGTTTTTACAGGCAACGCAAACCGCATTAACAGTTCTGGTTGGAACTATGGCCAGGTAAATACAAAGCAAAGAACATGATATACGGATCTCCTTTCAATACATTAATGGAGATGCCTATCTCCTAGAACTGGAAGGGACCTTGAAAGGTCATCGAGTCCAGTCCCCTGCCTTCTCAGCAGGGCCAAGTACCATCCCTGACAAATGTTTGCCCCAAATCCCTAAATGGCCTCTGCAAGGATAGAAATTAGCAGGCCAATGCTCAAACCACTGAGCTATCCCTCCCCTGCCTTTCTTCTTGCCTCCTCTCTCTAGTTCACACTTTTGCTACACTGTCTTTAAGAGACTTCCTGGGGCACTGGCAGCCACTAGCCATTTTTCTCTGCACCAGGCCTCGTCTCATGCCCCCACCTTATACCAGCTCACATAAGCATCAGTATCAATAACTGGGCATTTCTCCTAAACCAGGAGTCCCAGAGTTCAGCTGTAAACATCTAAAAGCCTCTGCTGGATAACTCTGTACACAGATGGAACTGCCGTGGTGCTGGGCCGCACTGTCCCAACCCTTATCACGCAGTCGTCAATCCTGTGACCTGAAAGATCAGTTGTGATCTCCTCGCTTGACCTGCTGAATGACACAGGCATGAGATCGTCATTCGAGTAACTCCTGCATCAAGCCCAAATTTACATTGCAGTAGAAAGGCTCATTAAGAAACGTTTAAAATATTATTCCAAATACTGTGTTACACTATGTTACCCTGATGATTTATAAGGAAGAACAATTTGGATCACATATAACATCAACCTGTTTTTCAAACAGTTTCAAGAAGGCATTCTGGATATTTGCCTCGCCTCGCTGGATAAAAGCCTAAACTACCGTAGAGACCCTGCCACCGATGTGTCTCGCAGAAATGATCCCAAGTACGTGGGCCGTGTGCTCAGTGCCATGGTAAGAAAAGGGTTAAATTACTCTGCATTAGAAACACTGCAAAAGCCAAAGCCACTGACTGTTTTTTTAAAGGCAGATGGGAGATACAAACTGTGTATTTACCTTCACAGGGAATTGCAGCTCAGAAACCAGTGTGACCAAAAAAACCTACCTGAGTTGCACTTGCAAGCTCTTCCTAATCAAGGGTATTTCTGAGGCACCTATTACTGTAGTATCCAGTTGTCAGACAAAATAAAGCGTTCATAGCCTCAGTATACAGAGAGCATAAGTGGTTTCAGTAGCATTTACAGAGATCATACCTAGATCCACATTAGAGCTTGTTCTCAGCTTCATTTCCCCCAGTAAACAGAGCAAGGGTGGGCCTAGTATCTACAGTGGTCAAACCGGGGGTTCTCATGTTTGCCTTCTTTTGATGGGAGCTCTACAGGAAAGGGATCCTTCTGTGGGCCAGCGTCCTCCCCAGCTCCCTAGATGTCGTACCCAATCTCTCCCTTTGCTGTGTTCCTGCAGGAGAGGATTTTATTCTTTCACTAGCACTACACTGGCTTAAAGGTGTTTTTGAGTAGCAATCAAAGCAGGAGACAAAAGAATATTAAGATCGTTGCATCTGGCCAGGAATATTTTCTAATAGTTTCAGTAAACCATGAAGCTGCTCTGAGGTGTAACGTGCATCTCCTCACCTAGAGCCTTGTTTGTGCTGAAACTCAGCACATGACAAGCTGGGGCAGGGGAATACATCTACAGCAGGCTGACACCAGCTGGCACATGGGCCCTGATATGATGCACTTCAGGTTCTGGAAAAGGCTTTGAGCTACTGCTGTTATTGTTGGGTGGAAGGAGCAAAGAGGGCTAGATGTTTGTATTGCTTGATGAAATCTATCTTTCAGTTCCCTAAAAGTAAGATGCCATCTTTATTACAGGCCAGTTCCCTGAGGCAACAGCTTTGCCCCTTGTCCAAAGATTAGGGCACTAGCGTAAAACTTGGGAGTCCAAGTTCAGTTCCATCCTATTCCACAGTCTCCCTGTGTGACCTTGTCTGTCACTCAGCCTCCCTGTGCCTCGGTTACCATCAGTAGACTGGAGACAATAGCACTGTCTAAGGGCATTGTGGGGATCCATAGAGTAAAAATCATGATACACTTTGAGATCTACTGATGAAAAAGTATTTCTGTAACAGTTATCGGTGTTAATTATCACTATGCGCTACACAAAGCTGTTTCTCCCTCCTTCCCTTTTTCTCCACAAATCTATGCTATGAGTTAATCTAAGGTGTAATTTTTCCAGGTAAACAGTAATGATGATAATGGGGTGCTGGAGGGAAACTGGAGTGGAGATTACCGTGGCGGAACAAGTCCCAGCAGCTGGAACGGAAGCGTTGAAATCCTGAAAAAGTGGAACGCTGCGGGATTTAAACCTGTCAAATACGGACAATGCTGGGTTTTTGCATCAGTGCTGACCACAGGTACATTTCATTAACACAGTGAAAGGTTGCAAAGGTTTGTTTGTTGCAAAGGTTCCATTATGGGAAATGCTAAACACTAAATCCTATATCTACTGAGGCATGTTTCAAAGTTCTGGTAATGTTGGAACCTGCTTTGGCCAGGATCACTATCCAGAAATATTGGCTGAGGATAGTTGCCTAGAAACTTTCTCTCTCAGAAATACAGGCTTTTCATTATTTCTTTTGGGTTTTTTAGTGCTCAGATGTCTGGGGATTCCTACTCGTATGATTTCAAATTTCAACTCTGCCCATGATGCCGATAAAAACCTGAGTGTGGATGAATATTATGATGAATCTGGAAATCCTCTGAGAATGGGAGGTGACAGCGTCTGGTAACCATCTCCTTTTCTAAATATTTGCAGTATAAAGCCTTGACCTCACACTGCAGCTCATAGATGCAAGTCAAGAATATGATTTGATCCGGTGCATTGACGGGAGAGAGAGACAGACTCAAACCACAATTCCCACAGTTGGCCCACTGTCAAAACAAGATATACATTATTAACGAAATACCTAAACAATACAAATTATGGCAACTACCAGCAAGTCACCCCAGTCTTCACACCCAGATAATGGTTTCTCTGTCCGATGAGCAGAACAATTCTTAATGATCAACACTACAGGTTGGACCTCTCTGGTCCGGCATCCTTGGGACCTGACTCATTCCAAACGAGGGATTTGTCTGGACCAGAGAGGTCATTTCTGGCCCCTCAGCACGGCTTCCTCCTGGCCAGCTGCCAGCCTTCCCACCAGCTTCCCGCCTGCCTCCGGCCCCACTGCCCCACCAGTTGCCCACTGTGATGCTGGACTCCCAGCCCCACCAGTGCTACTATGGAAGCCTATGGTCTTGCTGCCAGGGCTCCTGGCCCCACCAGGGCACACTACTGCCCTACAGCGGAGGCTCCTGGCCCCACCAGGGCAAACCGCTGCCCCGTTTCTGGGGCTCCTGCCCCAGCACAACAGACTGCTGCCCTGCTGGAGTCCACTGGTGCTTCAGCCACCCAACTCAGCAGGTCTCCTGCAGCAGGGCTCCCAGCTGCCAGCACCTCTGCAGCCAGCATGGCTGGGCTCCCACCCCACACAGGGCTCCTGCCTCTCGCCATCCATCAGGACTTTCTGCCCCAGCAACATCTGTGGCCCTGCTGCATCAGGGATGTTGCCAGAGCAGAGTCCCAGGTTAGAGTTTCAACCTCTCTTTAAGCTACATCCATGCGCATCACTTAGAACAGAGTCTCATTTAACAAATGGGTTTGTGAAGAACAAGTCATGCCAAACTAATCTGATAGCTTTCTTTGATAAGATAACGAGCCTTGTGGCTAAGGGAGAAGCGGTGGATGTCATATACCTAGACTTTAGTAAGGCATTTGATACGGTCTCGCATGATATTCTTATTGATAAACTAGGCAAATATAACTTAGATAGGGCCACGATAAGGTGGGTGCATAATTGGCTGGATAACCGTAGTCAGAGAGTTGTTGTTAATGGTTCTAAATCCTGCTGGAAAGGGATAACAAGTGGAGTTCCTCAAGGGTCTGTTTTGGGACCCGTACTGTTCAATATCTTCATCAATGATGTAGATATTGGGATAGAGAGTACGCTTATTAAGTTTGCAGATGATACCAAACTGGGTGGGGTTGCAACTTCTTTGGAGGATAGGGACATAATTCAAAATGACCTTAGCAAGTTAGAGAAATGGTCAGAGGTAAACAGGATGAGGTTTAATAAAGAGAAATGCAAAGTGCTCCACTTAGGAAGGAACAATCAGTTCCATACATACAAGATGGGAAGCGACTGTCTAGGAAGGAGCATGGCGGAAAGGGATCTAGGGGTCATAGTGGACCACAAGTTGAATATGAGTCAAAAGTGTGATGCTGTTGCAAAAAAAGCAAATATGATTCTAGGTTGTATCAACAGGTGTGTTGTAAGCAAAACTCGTGAAGTCATTCTGCCGCTCTACTCTGCACTAGTTAGGCCTCAGCTGGAGTACTGTGTCCAGTTCTGGGCGCCACATTTCAAGAAGGATGTGGAGAAATTGGAAAGGGTACAGAGAAGAGCGACAAGAATGATTAAAGGTCTAGAGAACATGACCTATGAAGCCAGGCTTCATGAACTGGGCTTGTTTAGTTTGGAAAAAAGAAGATTAAGCGGGGACATGATAGCGGTTTTCAAATATCTAAAAGGGTGTCACAAGGAGGAAGGGGAAAATTTGTTCCTCTTGGTTTCTGAGGACAGGACAAGGAGTAATGGGCTTAAAGTGCAGCAGGGCAGGTTTAGATTGGACATTAGGAAAAAATTCCTAACTGTCAGGGTGGTCAAATATTGGAATAAATTGCCAAGGGAGGTGGTGGAATCTCCCTCTCTGGAGATATTTAAGAACAGGTTAGATAGACATCTGTCAGGGATGGTGTAGACGGAGCTTGATCCTGCCTTGAGGGCGGGGGGCTGGACTCGATGACCTCTCGAGGTCCCTTCCAGTCCTATTATTCTATGATTCTATGAAATAGCTATGACCATCACTTGAAGCTGTTGGGAAGAGTTCTAACAGTATGACAGCTACAGGACCCAAGTCAATACCAGAATCTAAGGGATCAACTTGGAAATACCGCGCAGTTTCACTGGGATAGTTTGGGTCGAGACTGTTAAAAGTGTGCACCCAAACATGAGACCTTTCAGCATGACCAGGGCACAGGCTTCCTTTTCAAAGATACAGCTTTCTGCAGATCACATCACTGGGGTGAAAATTCTAAGAATTATACCCATAATTAAAAGGTAGTTGCATAAATTAAGGCACAAATTTAGCATGAGATTGTGATCAGGAAAGGAGAGCACTAAGAGTCTCTCTCACATTTTGCTTTGTTCTCGCTCTTTATCTTGGGTTCAAGGACCAGATAAATCTCAGATCTTGGGCGCCAGCAAACACTGGGGAAGACATTGAAAGTGAAGATTCCTCAGAGCCTTTCAAACTGAGGCCCAAGGCTTCCTGCAAAATACCTGGAATTGTTTTCTTTGATCTCAGACATAAAAATGTTGTTGATTTTACATTTCCCAATGTAACTCCCAGCCAGAACTTTTGGCTGTGTTTCTGGGGACAGAACACAGACAGAATTGCAACATGTGCTACAGTCTAGACGACACGACTGACAGGCAGTGCATTTCCTGTCAATTAGTGGAAGGCTGGACGTGCTGAGAGCCCTTAGTGAGGGCAGTTACTTCCTGAGACATGCCTGATCCAGTACCTGTGCAATGGTTTAGTTCACATGGCTTATAACAGCATCAAATAATTCATATTCATGCTCTTTCATTTCCCATTCTGTCATTATTTTAGCCATCGGAGACCAGTACAGAGCCCTCAGGGAAAATGGTGCCTTTCTGAGAATGTTTTATGAGGAGGTATAATAGACTCATAGACTTTAAGGTCAGAAGGGACCATTATGATCATCTAGTCCCGTGGTCACCAACCAGTAGATCGCGAGCTACCGGTAGATGTTGAGGCTCTAAGAGTAGCTCTTCAGCCCTCTCTGAACTGCGTGCGTGCGCAGTACATTTACATTAGATTTCCTCATTTGAGGAGCAGCTACTCACCGAGCAACAACACAGGTGTGTAGCTGCAAGGAATGGTGGGAGCTGGGAGGTCTGGAGGGTTGAAACACCCCAGCCAGCTGACTGTGGCTTTCAGCATAAAGACGCTGCCCCGCGCTACAGCTGATCAGCGGCTTTTCCCCCCCCCCCGCCCACGTGGAGCTTGGTGAACCCTGGCTGAGCGCCATGACCAGCTCTCCGGGCAGCCGCTTCTCTTCACTCCAGCCTGGCTGCCCTGCGGTCAGTCCGGAGGGAGCGCGGGTCGGAGGCTTCCCTCCGTGGCT